CGCCGCAGTATAGCTATACCAATATATTGGCATGCAATATAGTTTCTTAACATAATGCACTACAGTTATCTAATAAAATGGAACAAAAAATTAATTTGTATATAAATGTGTTTTGTCAAATACATTTGGTTACTGATAGCGAACTTTACGTATTGTGTGATTTTACATGGGAGATAATCAATATTGTCATTTCGACTGACCATATCGAGTTGTGGAACGTTTCATATACATCGCTATACCAGCATGATTGTATATAATATATTTCTCCACTTGATTAACGGTGATATCCTAAACTGTATATGGTGTTACTGCACTTCTTTTTTATGAAGAATAAATTGAAAGCATAATCTTGTCAAAAGCGAATTACAATATTAACCACCCGGTAAATTGCACCATAGTCTAAAGATAAACGATTTCTTTGTTTCAATTTCAAATATTGATGATTCAAACACTGAACTTCCGGATTTTTCATTTAAAACACATTCAAAACTTAATGATTTTTTTAATTACAGAACAAGAAGTTACCGATATATTAGATAATATTATCAATAAAGCTTCGGGTCCCGACAAAATTAGTCATAGAATGTTGAAAGTAACATCTAAATCAATATGCAAACCTCTTTGTTTACTCTTTAATCAATCTTTATATGACAATATGTACCCATCTAATTGGAAACTGGCTTATGTTATGCCTTTATATAAGAAAGGAAATAAAGATGAAGCATCTAATTACCGACCAATATCAGTAATAAGTTGTGTCGGAAAAGTAATGGAAAGAATTATTTTTTAACATATATATATTAACTATTTTAATGAACATTCACTTATTTTTCAAAACCAATCAGGCTTCCTTCCAGGCCACTCCACTATTATCAATTAATAGACATTTATAACCAAATTTGTAAATCTTTTGATACTAGAGAATCAACATGTACATGATGTATATTTTTTTGATATTTCAAAAGCTTTTGATAGAGTTTGGCATAAAGGTTTAATTTTTAAGATAAGACAATATGGAATTGAAGGAAACTTGATAAACTGGTTGGAAAATTATCTAAAAAACAGAAGTCAAGTTTTTTGTTAATACTTCGTTTTCTTTACCTAGGTATTTATACCATGGAGTCCCCCAAGGCTCGGTCCTTGGGCCTCTTTTATTTTTGATTTACATAAACGATATAGCGGATTCCCTTTTAAGTGTAACAAGACTCTTTGCAGACGACAGTTCTCTTGCAGTTACACCAAACAATGTAAACACAATCGAAGAAACTACTAATCAAGACCTTGATAATATTCTTACTTGGTCAAAGCAATGGTTTGTTAACTTTAATGAGTTCAAAATGATACAGATTGAATAAAACTTTTATATATGTCCCATACATCAACTGCAATACAGCTGACTTTAAATATTCTCTGATTTTGTTAAGTCGTATTCTAGCAAAGAATATTCAAGTAATACAAAAGTGGTTAAGATAACAAATTTAACAGGTTTATTTATCTTTTTCTAGAAGGTCACAGACCCATGTGGTACAATATGCAAAATATATAATCTGGCAAACGTGCATCAATATTAAATTGACTGACGTGATCACGTACATGCATTATAGTAAGACATTTTACATAGGAAATGGAAGCATATATTCACTTTTTTATTACATGATGTACATGCTTTTAATAATTCATATTTTCGTCGTATGTGTCAATAGTATATATGCAACATAAGATTTAAAAGAATAATTAGGTGGTGTGATAAAAACACAATTGTAATAACTTTACATATTAGACCATATCTATCACTAGTGAAGTAGATAATTATACAGTTAAAAAATCTTTCTCAATTGAATATTGAATTTAAATCATGTTGATAAGGAAAGTGTGAATTTTACATACATTTTACATACTAAATACACCATTTTGACAATAGTAATAATTTAACAAATTTTATTGTGCACGGGAGATAATTGCTCTGGACTTATCGCTCGAGTAATGTAACATCCGCCGCAGTATAGCTATACCAATATATTGGCATGCAATATAGTTTCTTAACATAATGCACTACAGTTATCTAATAAAATGGAACAAAAAATTAATTTTGTATATAAATGTGTTTTGTCCAAATACATTTGGTTACTGATAGCGAACTTTACGTATTGTGTGATTTTACATGGGAGATAATCAATATTGTCATTTCGACTGACCATATCGAGTTGTGGAACGTTTCATGTATATCGCTATACCAGCATGATTGTATATAATATATTTCTCCACTTGATTAACGGTGATATCCTAGACTGTATATGGTGTTACTGCACTTCTTTTTATGAAGAATAAATTGAAAGCATAATCTTGTCAAAAGCGAATTACAATATTAACCACCCGGTAAATTGCACCATAGTCTAAAGATGTATGATTTCTTACGTATTTCCTCTTTCCTAGATCTTGCCACCAATGACAAGAATTAGATAACAGCAGTTTCGCTTGTTAAATAAACATTTAGATATACATATATTTGAGTTGTAAAAATTATCTCACTGAATATGTATCACACATTTACACGACCGACATAGAAGTAATATCACATATTCATATGACTAACATATATTGACCAACATGTCTATTCGAACAATGATAAAATAAGAGAAACATACTACGTACTATAAGTCTAGCTTTAACAAAAGTATAAACAGATATGAAAAGCAATAACATACAGACCAGCTTTATATTAAATATCTGAGCGCATGACGAATGGCTTTGAAATATATATACTCAGTTTTCTAATTAAAGATATATTTTCAGTATTCATTAATTCTATATATTTAAACATATTTTGGAGATCTCCAGTAACAAATTGAAATATATTGTGTTCTACATTGTAATACAAAATGGAGATATAATGTAACGGTACGAATTATTGGATTCGTTCACAGAAGTATAAATTGTTCGTACTCATTTGATGGGATGCATATATTTCGTTTTTGGCAGCAGAAATAAAGAGAACTGAACATTGTGTGTCTTCTTCCTTTGAATGACTATATCGGGTTGTAGAAAAAACCCAAATTGTTGACCTTGTGTATAGCCACTGAACCACAGAGCTGTAATGAAAGTGTCTGACGGAAATATGCAAAGTTTGACGGAAATATGCAAAGTTTACTATTGATAATTCCGCGGTATAACCAACAACTTGTGAATTTGCCCCATTTTAATGTTGAAATGAATACATTCAGTGTATCCAATCATCTCTGTTTACAGACAGAATTTTATGTCTATTTCAACAAAAATAGCATTGATTTACAAATAAGACTGATTTAACATTATGTAATGTTTGACTACAACATAAAGTAATGATCAGGTAGCCACCCCGTTTTTCATTTCTTTGTTTCGATCAAGAACGTTTTTCAAAAAATTTGTTTAAAGCAGCTCGAGTTGATGGCCATGGATGACCACTTAAATACACATAGAGGGTGGTCTATAGTTGTATAAAATACAAAATATAAATATAGAATATTAATACTGTAACAGAAAATGCGTTCTCGACTTGATATAGTGGTAAATTTTTACATTGTTCACAAAAATCAACAAATACGCTACAGTTAATCGCCAATGCAACAAAACTATTCAGTTTGCTGAGAAAAGCAAATACTGCTAATAAACAGACATATTCAGCCTCACAAAATTGTTAAGTTGAATAAGTTGAAACATTGCCTCGGGTGAACTCGACGTAAACCTTTTTAAGTTCGTTTTCGGTGTTTCGATGGGGTATTTCCTGTTAACGCTAAACAACACTTCCAATGTTCTTATGTCTTGCACAGAACAGTTTTGAAGTTCTTAAAAGGCTGTAAATTGTAACAGATAAGTACTGTTTCCTCCAAATTTAATTTACACGTTAAAATTATATACAGGGACAGTTGATAAAAATATAACGTTCCGATAGACAACTGTTTTATATATTTACATCATTCACACGTGTATGCATTTGCGGGCAACTATCGTTTGCTTAAGGTGCGGTCATACAATGTCCCTTGTTGACAAGGCATCGGGGTTCAGAATGTTGTAAAAGTTAATTATCATATTCATGTGACAGGTATGTATTTCTTATAAAATATATAATTTTGTATATTTGTTATGCAAAAGACGCAATCAGATTGGCCTGCTTTGATTAATACAATGTATGTAGTATGAATTCAAAATACTAAATACACGTTCTTAAACGAATGCAAACTCAACAAGCTCAGATGCCCAGTATTTCTAAAACAACAAAAGCAATGTCAACACATTATAGGCTTATATACGTTTACAATATATCGCTACTTTATTCACATAAAAAATGAAAAATAGGTACATTAAAAAAGATCAATTATGGTAATGGTTACGGCTAAATATTACTTTAATGTCTGGTGCTTATTTACATGCTTGTCATTACTTGTTATTGCAGTCGATTAACAATTTAAGTGACGCAAGCTGTCATAATTTATGTCATTACAACACCAAACTCATAAATACACAAAGGAAAACTAATCAATCAAATCTGCGGGAAATACTTGTTTTCTTGAAGGTTATTCAAACAAAATATTCAAGATTCATAACTACTATGATGCAAATTTCATCGGTCATTTTAAAGATAATACTATTCTTTTGAAAACTCTTTGACGCTCGTCACATTGGCACACTAACATTGTTATCTTAACAATAATTTTCCTAAAGGGCATATTTATACTCTACCAATCTTCTAAGTACATGTACTCCGATTTGAAATGAAAGAAAACTAGAAGTCGCATGTTGTGCACACAAGTCAAATCACCGCTGTTACATTTGATAAAGGCGCGGAGTCCTGCGTCTTTGTTACTTAGTTAAGTCGCCTGCTGGTAGAACTATTTAACAAAAAGACCGTATTCGACGCCTTAAATGAAAATATACGCGCATGATGTATTCTGAGATGCGGACGTATTGTCTTATATATGAAACCAGGGATAAATGATCAAAGACTTTCTTCTAGTTCATTATTTTATTATTAGACATATAAAAACGAGCCTTCAAACTAAATACAAAGAAAATTACAAATAAGAGATTTACAGAACAATAAAATTACACATTTTATCCAATTCATCAATGGAAAAGAATTTGACATCACAAATATATAAATTCTTACCAGGATCACCATGCAAGAACTTTTAATAAAGGATGTTCAAGTTTACTATTAAGTAACGACTAATATACATGTAACACAACTTTACTGTAAATAATGTTATCGGTTACTCTTACTATATGGAACTGGCAAGGCGAAATATTTTACTTCAGCAAGAAGACATTTTAGGGTCATGCACTTGAAATGTAAGTGAACACATTCATATAACCTTTCAACTTGCAGTGACCTCTTTTACGAAACAGACTATATTTACAATAACACTACCACACTATGGAAAAAAAGAAAACAGTTCGGCAAATACTAAATAACTAAATACAACAAAACACAGAGGATACAATATACCAATAATAAACAGAAAACGATACACAAGCTACTCATTGATTAAAAAAGAAAGTAACATTTGTGAGCGAGTAAGCGTGATACCCACTCGAAGTTTCCTAATCTTAATTTTGTGGTGGGAGATTGTTGCTAAATAAGCGCAAAAATTTGTTACTGTTAAGAGGAGCAAAATGACACAAAGTGTAGCAGGTGTTCTTCAGAAAAAGCAGATGGAATATCGGGTGGTGAGTCGTGCATACGCATAAATCACCAAATCTCGAAGTAACTTCGAATTTAATTTCTCAACCATACCTCATTATTTCAGTTTATCTCTTTTAAATAGAGTGAACATTGCCGTCTTGATAGAGCAAAACAAACTAAAAATGGTGTAAATATCAAAAGAAAAAATAATAAAAATAAAATCAAAAATAAAAAAAAAATCATTTTTTAAAGAAATGAGTACTTATCTCGTTTGTTGTATGATTAAATGTCTATCTATAAGCATGAAAATAATAGTACCATTGAATTTTGCTTCACACATCCTATTACGGGTTCATATACCGTGCATATTTGCAAAAAGAAAAACATTGAAAAAAAAAAAAAAAACGAAAATCATACTAGTAATTAAATGAGGTAAAACATTTACCTAGTAAGTAATTTTGTTTTAGTATTTTATGATTAAATATCATATAAAAACATATTAGATTTTCAATACACCAGCTTCAAGACATTTTTAATCCTGGCGATCTCACACCGATGACTCAAAAATCTTCCTCAATACGTAGTCATTAAATTACCGAGAAAATTACATTTACCGAAAAGTTATGCTGAAAAGCCAGTTAGGTGGGTAAACTGCCGAGTATGGCCGAACATGAGTTTCAATGACTTTCCTGGAAAACTAATTATTATAATATTCAATTTCTCCGCAAGTGACCGACCATTCCACATGTTTTTAATCAGCAAAAATATTTATATATACACATACACACTAAAATAACAGACATTGACTGATTTCCCGAATTTTGATATACTGTCGACGGGTTCTATATCATTGGAGCAAATTTACTTTATTATATATAATCAATGACTTTATACTTTCATTGAAAGGTATACAATGTATTTCTTGTGTGTCAAATTCGTCATTAAAATAAAACATTGAATCACCACACTTTATATGAGCGAGATATATTATCTCTATCTCATCTAAGCATGATTAGAACTATTTAAACAAGTTCATCGCTACTGGTGACCGCTGGAACTCTATCTGCCAATGTGTTCATGCGTAAATGTGGATCAGACGCTGTAGCCATTGACGCTATGACATATGAATAGAAAAACAAGAAACGTCATACTGAACAATTGAAAGAAATAAAACAACAGTAAGATCAAAACATTTACATTGGAATAGTCAGTTTCAAAACCAATGAGATTACTGTTTAGCAAATGGTTAATGTATGAATTAAAATCACATAAACTAAAGAAAGAAGCACAAAGATTATTACCTATTTCGTGGTCAAGTATCATTCGTATGTTATTCCTGAAAAATTAATAATATACTGTATATGAATGGAAATAGGTGTGTTCTGACATGCAGATATTTCTTATAGTAAGGTATTTTTACAATACCATCGAGATCAATATTAAAATCTTTATCGAAAAAATCAGCTATTGTATACATGGCAATTTTCAAACATCATCTTCTGTACCATTTAAATGATTTCTGATTTCTTGTATTATATGTTGCCTGGACCATGTTCCTTTATATGTACTTAATCATTAATATTAAACCTGAAAAAGATATATCTCTTCTTGAATAATTAGCATATCTTGTTATGTATATTTACATGCCGACACTGCCGCTGTATTTCAATAGTTCAAAAATTCTTTTGTTTTTATCTTCTTCAACCTTTGCCTTAGCATCCTCAGCCTTTGCCTTAGCCTCCTCAGCCTTTGCCTTAGCCTCCTCAGCCTTTGCCTTAGCCTCCTCAACCTTTATCTTAACCTCCTCAACCTTTGCCTCAGCCTCCACAACCTTTACCGTAGCCTCCATAACCTTTGCCTTAGCCTCCTCATTCTTTGCCTCAGCCTCAACAACCTTTACCTTAGCCTCCTCAACCTTTGCCTTAGCCTCCTCATTCTTTGTCTTAGCCTCCTCATTATTTGTCTTTGCATACTCGGCTTTTGTTATTTCCTTTGCAGCAGCCGCCCTAGCTTTCTCAGCGTAACCCCTTGCTAATTCAGCGGATGCCCTCGCCTCGTCAGCAGCACAACCCTTTTCTTTCTTCCCTTCAGTGATTAACATTTGCAAAGTAAGCTTTGTAATTTTGTGTTCCTCATGTCTTCTGTAAAATATTTACAAGATATATGTTTGTTTGCAAGAAAAATGAACAATTTAACAGAATGGGGTTTTCAACTGTTTACGCCACTCGTGCATTATTTTAAGTTTCAAAACTTTTCTTAAAATAACCTTGAATATAAAATCTCTTTCCCTCACTGGAAACCTTACATTGCAGACGACTTATGAATAACTTAAAATGCAAAGACATAAGAGGCAAGAGATATGAAAGAAATTAAATAATTCATATTAGATTGCGCTCATAATATCAACTTACAATATATAGAGTCTATATAATAGATATAATATAACCAAAGCTGGTGCACGATTGTTTGGTTAAGCAAACAAAATAAAACATTTCCTAACACAATACCGTTAGAGAAAATTTTTATATGTATACCCAGCGGAGGAAAAGTACATATTTAAAAGTATATATAAAAAGTGACATATAAAAAGTGACATATTTTCCACAATCTATAAAATTGCTTATAAATGCGATGGAAGATATTTTTATTACGAATAAATCGACAGCTTGGTGCGAAAGGGTTGTAACTCTTTCTTTATCTAATATGAGTTACAACCCTTTCGCACCAAGCCCTCGAGTTATAAGCTTTGATAGTTTATTACTCATTTGAGGAGTGTAACAAACAAAAGAACATTGTTGGCATTTGTTAAACCTTAAAAAAAAATAATGAGAACTTTTGAAACAATTCTTCAAAAGGCTGACTTCCGGGCGCTGGCTAATTTACTGTCTTTTGGATGATGACTTTCATTGATTTCACACAATGAAAAATATACAATCTTTACTCATATGATAATTAGATTAACGATTCATTCTATGCTATCGCAACGTTTTCTGTCCCTGTATATGTGGGAGATTTTACTAAATAATGACATGATAATTTCAGATGAAATCTCACATGTTTTAGAAATTTCCTGAGATTAAACGATATATAAACATTAAAATAAACCCTCAGAATTATAGCAGAATGTAGATAAGAGCAACATATTGATATCACATTTGAGAAAATTATAGCATTATCTGAAATTTCTTGACAATTCTACTATGTAAAAACCCATACATTTTTGCAGTGTTTATTTAATCCAATCAACAATGATGTAAAGCACAAATGTTCTACAAATTTTTGTAACATATATGAGCCGTGTCATGACAAAACCAACATAATGGGTTTGCGACCAGCATGGATCCAGACCAGCCTGCGCATCCGCGCAGTCTGATCAGGATCCATGCTGTTCGCTATCAGTTTCTCTACTTGTAATAGGGTTTGTAAGCGAATAGCATGGATCCTGATCAGACTGCGCGGATGCGCAGGCTGGTCTGGATCCATGCTGGTCGCAAACCCATTATTTTGGTTTTGTCATGACACGGCTTATATGTAAATTTGAAATGTGTCCCTTAAACAAACCTGCAATTTAATAAAAGTCTTTAAACCATAACATATGAGGTGCCGCAGGTGATTGTATGTTTTGGAAAACGCTTTCTACAGTTTGCAAGTACTTAAGTTAGTTTTATTACCGTTACCAATGACATCGGGAAGTCTGTTTCATTTGCAAGGACTATGCATGTACAGTCCTAATGAAAACATATAAGATATATATGTGGTAAACGTCAATAGTAAATGTTCACATCTATAAGGGATTCATTGTAATTACTTTTAATTATGATTCACATTCAATATGCCACTCATGTGTAAAGGGCTGATTGTGTTACAGTAGCTACCAAATAGGTTTAAAACAAATATCTATTTGTTTAAATTGTGTTTGTAGAAAGGCATTTAAGACTACTTTATTAGCATTATAAAGTTTCCAGGTAAACTATTAGGAACAAGCAATTATCATAGTATTGCAAGCAATCCATAAGTCCCCCACCGGTAAGAACCCAAGCAACATTCTGATGGGCCATTGGCCATTCAATTTTACCAGTGAATGAATGACATGAATGAACATAAATCTTTTGAGTTCTAAGTTTGTCTATATCACAGTAATGTGTTAAGTTTCCCTGCCTAGTAAGGAAATAATGTTTATACAACCTTGTCATATTATTACAATGTTGGATTTTAAAGTAAATCCTATAAGGAATAAAGAAGTTGGAGTGAAAAATACCAATTTCTCGAAAAAAATCTAAGTTCAAGGGGGACATAATCCTGGAAATAGTCTTGCTAGAGTATTTAACCTCCTCAAAAATGTTGAGTGATAATAAGAAACATATATATGAAGTTTGAAGTAGATACATTAGGAAATAAAGAAGTTATTTAAAAAAGACAACATTTTTTTTCATAAAAATTCTAAGTTCAAGAGAGTGATACTGATAATTTTTGTGCTAGAGTTGTAAACCTTGTCACATATGATGTGGTTGATGACCAGAAACTTATATTTAAAGTTTGAAGTAAACACCTTAAGAAATAAAGAACTTATAGTGAAAAAGCTGAAAAATTTAAATCAGAAATCTTGAAATTTAGGCTATTTGTTGCCATAGCAACCAGAATGTTTAACATAGGAAGAAAAGAAAAAGATGTGCATAATCTCCAGACTGCCATCTACCCATATTTCAAGTTTCATAAAAATATTTTTAGTACTTTTTGAGTTATCACTGGATCCAGTTTATGTGTTAAATTTGCCATATTTTCAGACTATTTGTTGCCATAGCAACCAGAATTTTCAACATAGGAAGAAAAGAAAAAGACGTGCATAATCTCCATACTGCCATCTATCCATATATCAAGTTTCATAAAAATATTTTCAGTACTTTTTGCGTTATTGCGGGATCCAGTTTTGTGGACGGACGGACTGACGGACTGACAGACAGACGGACAGACGGACAGACAGACAGACGGACAGACGGACGGAGGGTAAACCTAAAGTCCCCTCCGGTTAAACCGGTAGGGGACTAATAATGATTTACCAAACAAAGCAGTACTTTTTTATGCTTAGTTTATGCTTCAGTTGTAAAATTAAAAATGTGTTACACTTAATACTTCTGTAAAATATGGGTTTTGTTTGCTCTCCCTAGAAATAAAAACATTGTTGCACGAGTGGCAAATATGTCAGAGTAATTTTCAGTACTAAAGAAATTGTAAGTATGTGATTTCCAAAGTAAATTAACATGTACTTATCTAACCATAAAGAATGGTACCTAACTGTTTAAATTTAAAATTTCATGATTGTTGAGTTTCTTTTCTAAAAAAATTAATTAATGTTTTGTAATGATACATATTCCCTACCTGGTTTATTAATTACACACATATTATGTTTCGGAATACATTGAGGAATAATTGTAGTGCAAATTAAGAGCGGAACATTTTTTAGATTTTTATACGTGTCACGAAGTTTCGTTCATCAGGATCAGTTTTCTTATAACATGTATAACAAGTTTTTCAGCAGTAAGAAAATAAACCTAGAAATCGTTTGTCAATGACCAGAACCTTTAAACACGAATGTAAGTACATGTACATCTTCAAGCAATATAATGTTGTCTACTTAAATCATTTGATGGCTTATTGAGGTCATTAGAATGAAAAGGGAAAAAAGAACCCCTTCCACGATAAAAAACAATTTGCTTAAATAAAGGAAAACAAAATCCCTAAAGAAAGCCCAACACGGTATACTTAAAATGTTGCAGGCTCGGTTTGATTGTGTCTTGCTAAGTCAGCATAAATTCCTTTCAATATGTCTGGAGCGGCTGTTTTAATAATAGAACTCAAATACTGTATATATTTACGTTTTAAAATTGCAGGTGTATCAACACATTGGTAATATGAATTTACTGTATTCTTTGTTTTGGCAAAGAATAGTACTAGACCTGTTTAATGATACATGTTTATCAAGAGCAGCCGTAATATCCAATATCCAGTTGTTAAATAAAAAAGTGTTACACAAAATATACAGGAGTGACATGACAGAAGTAGAAAGGTCAAAGTCAATGCTGTCCTCGCAAAATAAAGATAAATTAAGCTGGCAAAAATATTTTTCATCACTTGGAAACATGTCTTATCACAATAGACAAAATTCATTACATTTAGATCATCTGGAAATTAAATATATTAAAATAAGAAATGTTGCGAAAATATATATGGACTCATTACACCAAAATATGTTCGAGAACAGACGGAAAAATTGTCTAAAAATATACTAAAACATAGAACGTGCAGCCGTAAGTCATTGATCTCAAAGATGATTGTAACATTCATTACACATCAAATAAAATTATTACCAGAACAAGCCAAGTAAAAACTCAGCTGAGCAGAGATATTTAGAAACTAATGGTAAATAACATCGTTGAGTAGATTTGTTCAGGTCTTTACAATTGAATTATCAGATTTACTTAATCAACGAGAGAACACATGAAATAATAATAATATGATATTAAGTGGTCTATGGTTACAGTGATAACTCATTAAGCTAGAAAGCTTATCCAATTGGCTTTTATAAACGAAAAGTGAAGTATGTTAGTAAGTTTTATCTATTTGATTATCACTGAAATTTTAGTTATAAACAGTTGAACTCTTGGAATATCAAATTTCATAAAAGTCTGATATGTACTATCATTATTGTATAGTATTAGAGATCTATAACAGAATAGCGAATACGTACTCTATACAGGCCAACACTTCATTGCGATCCCTGTGTTCATGTACTGAACCTCCGACATGACAAGGAATCACCTGCAAAATATATGAAAGTAACAATGGGGAGAAATAACGGAAAAGCATTTTCAGACGTGATAAGTACTAAATTATAAAGAAATGTGTTTAGAAAAAATTGAAGTTTCTTACTTAATTTGAATTACATCGCAATTACCATGTACAATAAAAGGATCTCAAAAATTAATATATTGATATTATGTAAAAAGTATTCAATTGGATTGCAAAGGCTGTCAAAATCACTTAAGCACATCCAAAATGCTGACATTAAATGTTCATGAAATGTATCTAATGAACATTTTAGAAAACAAATATGCATTCTTTATCCTGTCATTTCATTGGTAAATATGCATAATAATACCCTTCCAAAACGTAATCTCTTTTCGTGGTCAGTCTGCATTGTTAATCAATTTATGACAATTTTCATTCACCAAATGTTATCGACGAGGAATTTACTGAAATATAAATTTCACAATGTAAAATTAATGTAGTGTATCATTCAGAATGTTAATTTCACTTAGAGAAATCAAAGAAAAAGCTCACCAAAACCAATACAATAACATTAACTTAAAAGTAAAATTATAAATGTTAAAGAAAACATCATTAAAATGCCCCAATGGTAGACAATCACTAGAAAATGTTTCATGCTTAAAATCTAACCTATAGCTATTTTAGGTTTTTAAAACAATATCTTTTTAAGCTTTTACTATATACATATATAGAAAATCAATGCCCAAGGTCGGGCCAAAATTTGAATCTAGGGCTTTCATTTAAACTAACATAATAGACACCCAAAGAAGATTATTCATACTTAATATCTGAGCTTTAGCTCTTTGGTTTGTTTTATTAAATTTTAAAGAAGACTTTTTAAGTTTTTACTATTTACATATAAGGAAAATCAATGACATCCCGGGGCGGGGCGAATTTTGACCCAAGTGATTTTATTTGAAAAAACTTGTAGACACCCACTAGAAGATGTTTCATCCTTAATATCTAAGCTCTAGCTATTTGGATTTTTTAAAAGAAGATTTTTTTCTTCTTTCGGTTGCCATGTCAACCAGAGTTCTGCATGTAATTAAATTATTTGAAGTTTTTGAAAGGTGATCACAAAAAAACATTCATGTGAAGTTTGGATGAAATTGCCTCAGTGGTTTATGAGAAGATGTCTTTTAAAGTAAAGGTTTACGGACGACGAACAGACGGGTAGACAGACGGACGGAGGGTAAACCTACAGTCCCATACAGTTAAACTGGTAGGGGACTATTAAACTGTCTCATTTTCCAACGAATGAAACATTTATTTATTTCTGAGTCATAATATGCCTTCATGGCATATTTAAAGATCAGTATAAAAGCGTATCAGGGCCTACAGTTGGTGAGATGTTTTGCGCTATGTCGACTTTTTTTATTCGCATTGATAAGATGTTTTTTTCTTTTCTCAATAAAATGTACTGACAAAGATGAGAAGCTTTTAGGCATTGCAACTGAATTTTTCTCGATTTGCTTGAAGCTTTTGTCTCTTCGACAAAAATCCTGTCGAAACTTCTTGATTTCACGACTGTGCTGAAATATTTAGTAAGACGCAAAGACGTTACTCGCATTGACAAATAGCTCACGTAATTCAAAAAAGTTGTTTTGCAATGATTAAAAACTTCTACGTATTACGTATTAATCATAACGTCTTCGTGGAATGTTTTATGTATTACGCATTAATCATAACGTCTTCATGGAATGTTTTTGGTCAAAACGAGAAGAAACAAGTTGACATGACGTGAAACTTTTAGATAAGTGAAGGCCCTGATACGCTTCCGTAGCCATATTCATCTCTATGTCTTGTCAAATAAATAGGTTAAAATCACATATTTTAGTATATAATTTGAAATGAAAACCGAAAACTAGAAAAATATTGTTTTGATGTTTAAAACAGAGGACCACTATCAAATTGTGTCACATTAGAGCCCTTGAGTAGATGATAGTCATGGCTCTGGGGTTTCTTTTTATATTTTTGACATTACAGAGAAAATAGGCCTTAGTTGAGATATGCAAGACACATTTAAATATTTCTGTGTTAGACTGCTGTCCTTAAATGAGATATTTAATCAAAGATATCAATGTCAAGATCAGAATTAAATGTTTTTAATGTAGCTCGTAGTTTAAACTTATCTTACGGAGCCCCTAAGGTGACTTTTTCGACACTTTTCCCCCGGCATTTAATTCGTTTTTACGAAAAATTAATTCGTAATTACAAAATATTAATTCTTTTTTTCGAAATAATAATTCGTTTTTACGAATATTATTTCGTTTTCACGAAATATTAATTCGTAATTACAAAATAGTAATTCGTTTTTACGAAATATTAATTCGTTTTTACGAAATATTAATTCGTAATTACGAAACATTAATCCGTTTTTACGAATCTTATTTTAGGTCATTGTGAGCTTGACAAAAAAAACCTACTAATATCTCAAAGGGTCATTTACAAGCCTGGATGAACCTTGCGATTATAAGCCGAATAGTTATTATATTTAAATAAACAGGGTTTTTGAGATAAAAGTCATTCTCAATACAAAATATCCTCTTTTTCCCATTTGCAAATACATGTTCTCATCAGCAATGTTTTAATATTTGAGGCAATAAATATTTTCTGACATGTTTCTTTAAAAAGGAAACATGCTATATTATTACATGTACTTTCTTTTATCATATACATTAGTAAAACTAATTCAGATTTTCACTAATCTTAATAATTTAAAAAAGTATATTTCCTTACAATTTATTTATGGGCACCGTGTGATCATAAAAAAACATAACGTTTAACTTTTATTTCAAAACTCAATAATATCGACAAAACGAAACAGAAAAAATGTCCGTGTTTGGATTTGAAGCACCACCACTTTAACACTTTTTATAGCGCATGAACTATCACGGCTGTGGCGGCAACGCTATTGACAGGTGAATATTTTAATTTATATACAATAGCGTTAAAAAAAGATAACTATTCACATTGCATTTACTTGCCGAATTAATATTTCTCAAATACAAATTATTATTTCGTAAAAAGGAATTAAGGTCCGGAAAAAAGTGTGGAAAATGTCACCTTAGGCGCTCCATATTATTGGATAGATATATCAACAGGAAAAAAAAAACATCTTTTTTTACATCTTTTTTTTTCCTTTTATGAGAAGTTGGCGACCTAACAGCCTGGAGGCCTTAACTTTAAGAGTTGAAATTAAATGAAAACTATCCAAACGGCTTCTGGCGCATTGACAGCTTTTATAAACCAATGATAATATGTGATTTCAATAGAATGTGTTTTTTATAATCTAAACAACAACAAAAACAAAACTTTATATCACAAACTACATATGTTAGTACTTTATAACCTCCAAATTGAAGAGATAGCAAAAATGTTTCCCCATAATTCCCCACCCCAGTATTCCCATCACTCGCCCAGTTAATGTGTTTGGTTTAATTGTTTTATGACCAAATCATTGAATTTATTTGCATTACAGTAATGTTCTCTTTTGGAACATGCCCTTTACGCATAATATAAGTTCAATTTTTGAGTTGTCTACTATATTTCTATCTACTTTGTACAAAATCTTCAATTTTTGGATATGTTCGTTCTCATTTGGAAATGGGGATCTATCGAGAGTAATGGTATAGACTCTCTTTAATTGAGTCCTTAACATGCAACACAATCTAATTTTTCAGTATCTCATAATATATTTTAATCATTGTCGATTAAAGGTTGAAATATATATATAAGCATAAAAACTGTATACACAGATGTACATTTACAGAGAAAAAACTTGCATTTATGGATAAAACCATGCGAGCACATTATTTACAAAAATGTAGCTTGATATTTCAAAGAATAGGGAGCGAGTGATATTGTACACCAAAGGCGTCAGCTTTACAATTTGACTAAGTTTTTTCATGCAAGTTGGTTTTGTAAAAATTACATGATGGAATACGTTAAACCCTAATACATTTTTTAGCATAATTGAAGGTCACCGTTAAAGGTCAATAACTCTATCATGGATTTTGACAGAATTATGTCCCTTTTAAATATAAAGAATTCTTCATAATCTAGGTTCTTGTTTAGCTTTAAAGCACCGATAACAGTCGAGCACTCTATGATGTCCTACCGATAACTCTTGTCAATGTGCATGATTCTGATACCATGCAAAGCCGCTGATTTTAATAACGATCCCCAGTTACCTTATTATCAAAACATAACACACAAAAATTAAAGTTAAAATCAATACAAAACCAGTTTCTTTATGCGGAAAACAACATATCGTAGAATCACCAAAACAGAATGACTAATACATTATTTTGTGGATCAACATCTACAGAAATTGAATCTTGAGCCCATAGAATGTGGGCTCAGAATGCGTCCAGGCGCTTCTGTAGATGTTAATGCATGAGAAGTGTGAATTAATCCTCTATTGTATTATATATTTTAGTGCACATAATTCCTTAGCTTATTTGAACCAAATGTTCACTATGATTTATACTAGTAAGTGTTGGAGACGTAAGGGTTTCTTCTCCTGTCAATTCTTTTAAATAAATGTAGTTTGCATCATTCTTGTGATCGTCTTACTGCAGCTGTGAGTTCTATTTTGTGTCATAGATAACGGAATCAGACTCTTATTATGTCATTATTTTGGCAAGGTCTTGTGAATAAATAAGAAAAACAGAATAATATTGAACACAAATATCTTGGGTTTTTCTGTAAACAAACTTAAGTGTTTGGCATTATTAAGATTATTAATTCGTGACTTTATATGAGATGAAGTTTAGACTTTTGAAGCTCTTTATATTTGATAATTTTGAGATTCCAATTGTAAGATTGAGATGCTAACTTACTGACTTACTGCGAATTTCGGGGCTGCATTCCAGGGGCAACGCTCTTAAATTTCTTGTAAATTTCCCCCCACTTTTATATTCTAAAGCAGTTAAAATGCCTGATTAAGCCTTACATAAGCATATGTCTTTTCTGATATTACAGTATAATAGTTGATTTATAATCTCAGTTGTTTGTTGTCTTTTTTTTTGAATTTCAAAAACAATGGAAACTCTTTAACAAATTAAAATTGTTTACTTAGATTAAATTTTTTCTGTTTGGTTTCCACAACTGTCATAAAAGGACTGTACACAAGAACTAGTGAAATCATGCCGCATTTAGCTTAATTCATGAGGTTGTCATTTGTTCAGCTTTTTTTCTTTCATTTTTTCTTGTTTACTCCTTCTAGAATCACAATAACAATGAACAATTGACCTTAACTTGACAGACATTCAGTACTAGATCAATAGGTGTTAATTATAAATAATTGACTTAAGTTTTCTTGTTTATACTTATTAGTATTAGTTGATAACACTTTAAACATTACCTTGCTTAAGTTATAAAAGCAACCTGATGTACAACTGTTGAAATATCATTATTTCTA